ACAAAAAAAAAAAAAGTATTTCCAACTACTCAGTAGGCAGAGCAGGAGGGTTGGAAGTTTGAGACTAGCCCAAAGGTAGTAGTGACATACAAGTTTGAAAACACTATCTACATTTAACTAAAAGTTATAAATTACACTCATTAGGTGATAGAGGAAAAGGTAGAAATAACAAGCAAAACTCTTTATTTACCTAAGAAGTAGGTAAGCATACATCTAAAATTGATGACCACTAAATAGCAAAATATACCAATCATTTTAAAATATGAGGGGTAGGAGCTGGGAAGGTGGCTCAGTGGTAGAGTGCTTGCCTTGCATGCCTGAGGCCTGCGATTCCTCAGCACCACATAAGCAAAAAAGAAAAAACCCAGAAGTGGCGCTGTGACTCAAGTGGTAGAGCTAGCCTTGGGCTGAAAAGCTGAGGGACAGCGTCCAGGCCTTGAATTCAGGCCCCACGACCGGACCCAAAAAAAAAAAAATGAGGGGTAGTGGTACTGCTTAGAAGTAAAGCACTTGGAGGCCCTTATGTCAAAGCCAGTACTACCAAAATAGAACCTAAGTATTAGAAGCTAAACTGAAGGAATACTGCTAGAGTTTACTATAAACTGTAAAGGGACTTTACAGTTAGGAGAAGGAGATTACCATTTTTTACTATAAACCTTCAGAACTGTTGAACTTTTAAAAATATAAATAGGTATTGCTTTAATTTTGTACAACCTATTTTTAAAGCAGTGAAATTCTATTTGGATGTCTTTTCTAAAATTACCTTTTTGCCAGTAATCACAGAGAACATGGTACCATATGCCTCTTTATACACTCAGTTGCCCTGTCACATCCAAGGAGGATTGGTTCCAAGACCCCCCTAGAGATACCAAAATCTACAGCTGCTCAAGTCCTTTTAAATAAAATGGAGCTATATTTGGATATAATATAATTTACATCTTTCTATATATTTTAAAACATCTTTAGATTACATATAATACAAGGTAAGTGCTATGGAAATAGTTTTTATAATGTATTACTTAGGTTATAATGACAAAAAAAAGTACATGTTTAATAGAAACAACTTTTTCCACAGTATTTTCAATCCACAGTTGGTTGAATCCATAGATGCAAACTCATGGACAGAGAGATAACTGTATGTATGTATGTACACATATGTATATACTACATACATTAACATGGCAGATTATATGGCCAGAATCCACTAAACACTGTTAATTCTTTTTTTGTCGGTCATGGGGCTTGAACTTTGGGCCTGGAAGCTGTCCCTCAGCTCTTCAGCTCAAGGTTAGTGCTTTGCCACTTGAGCCACAGAGCCACTTCTTGTTTACCGGTGTTTAATTGGAGATAACAGTCTCCTAAACTTTCCTGCCCAGGCTGGCTTTGAACCACGATCCTAAGATCTCAGCCTCCTGAGTAGCTAGAATTATAGGCGTGAGACACCAGCTGTTAATTCTTTAAACACGTAATTCTTAAATTCACTTTTATAAGCCTACTCTACTACTTGTAGAACTACTACATTAGTAAGACAATCATTTATGTCAACTTATGTGAAAATTATTTACATTGTTTTCCTATTTAATGCAAAAAGAATCAATATATCAAAACCATACTTAGGAGCTTCCAAATAATAATAATAAATCTTGATAAGATTAAAGAAAAAAAATAGAAAACTCATTTAGTTTGCTCACAATCTATGCACCCTAAAGCTAGAAATAAAACTAAATATATTACCATCAGAGGAATATCCAGTAAGACCTCCAAAAATGACTAGCACATAGCTGACATCAAGTTCCCTCATGATCTCGTAGGCTTTTTCTTCTGTGGATGCCATTGCCTAGAAAAATAAATAGACATTTCTCAAAGCACAATCTCAAATCCTATGTCCTCTCACGGAGGAGTATTTCCACTAGACTTTACATTATCAAATACTCTTAAGAATCCCTCCACCTAGGTTCCTCAAAAGACTTCACATAGAGCTCCCCTATGACCCAGCAATCCCACTTTTGGGCATTTACCCAAATGTTTACAAACAAGACCACACTAAA